ATTTGAATATCTGGAACTCAGGAAAGTCTGGGTTCACATATATGAAGTAAAACTAGTTTCACTGACACTTTGTAAACCATACCTAAACTAAATTACAAAACTTAGTATGTGGCAGATCTATCAGATAATAAATTGAGGTAAATGGTATTATGTTTTACAATTTGTTTCGTGATATGATTCTAAATTAAGATAAAAATTTTCCACGGATAAAAATATTATAAACGATGAGTTAGACAACAAGATCCTCCACTTTCAGTTTTCTTCATTAAAATAATCGTAAACATAATTTAACTATTAATACTAATTCGGTAGGTTTGTTATTCAGCTGAGTTTAATAAATAAATAAATAAATAAATTTCAACAGGAGTTCCACAAATAAAACTGAACCATTCACATGAAAACTTGTGTAGAAATACCAAACGCTTTATTTCGTGTTCCGATGGTAATAACAATCACATGTGAATGTAAACTTTCCAAAAATAATATAAAAGTGTGCTAAGTTAGTCATGAGTAAACAAGTGTCTACTAAATAAAAAATTTTGTCACTGAAATGGAACATCATGCTATTTTAATTGAGATCATGTTCTGATCAATGTTAGACCACCATTGAAAACTCCAAGCAATGAACAGTTATTTCTTTTTAGTATCGAGCTCCTCAGTTGTACAAATCCACGAATTCACACGCATGAATCAAACTCACAACCTTCAGTCTTGCGTGCGAACGTTCAACTTCCAGATAACTGAACTGCTATCCAACGATGCTCATGTCTAACTTCAATCGATCCATGATCTTTCACAACCCTTTACCTATTTTGTGAGATGAATAACTATCTCACATTTGAAACAGATTAGTTTCCACTGATTATGACCTCTCACTAGAACTCCAAAGATTATCTCTTGAATCTAGTTAGTAGTCATTAATTATTACTATCATTTTTACAAATAAATCTATAAACAGTGTTGACTTAACATTATCTAACACGTTTTAACACATACACTAATATTATAATTTTCAAACTGAAAAATTAACCATATAACAAGCAATATTTATATAAAGTTAACTTTCATTCAAATATTTAATCAACTGTTTACTAACACATGTTTATAGCTGTATATCACAAAATATTTTAGACAATGGTATACATAATCAATGAACAATAAAGGATCGTTTTATGAACTATGAGTTACATATACTTATATAAGTAGTTAGTTTAAATCCTAAATCTCTTAACTAATGAATACTGTGTACAATGTTCCATTTCATAAATATATAAAGAAACAATCTATACAACTAATGTATATATTAGTTGTATTAAAAGAAAGTAATAATTAAGTAATTTCAGTTAATTCACTAAAAGTCACAGTTATTATTGATAATAATAATTTTTTTATTTTAAAAAACATATGCATGCTGAAAGAGAGAAAAAACAAACAAAGTGAACGAAATTATTCTTGACATTTCATGAATGATCTAGATTTCGTACAATATAAAATGAGAAGGAATAAATCAGCTGAATACTCATATGAGAAAATAACAGACACAACAAGAAGAAGAAGAAAAAAAAACTTTTAAAAAATCACATTAGTATAATTAATAGTTGTTTGTTTGTTTTTTTTGTGTTTTTTTTAATTACCTAGAAACAATTTCGACTCAAACTAAAAGTATTGAATGCATTAGAATAATGAAGGTGATAATGTTTTTACAATATTACATAGATGCTCAATTGTGAAAATATATGAATATTTCGTTTGATTTAAGTAGGAATGATTACATGATTAATATTGACTGAGTAATGATTAAATTATTATTAAAAAAAAGATAGAAATGCGTTTCTCCTAACTTGGTTGATGTAATTTTTATTGTTACTATCGAGATTATCTGTCACCATTCATGTAACTTAAGAATATATACATTTAGATTGTTCCTTTTGTTATCATTCATAAAAAGAAATCAAATATTTCGGTTGGTTGTTGATTACATTTACTTTGCACTAGAAAAAAATCTTAAATCACACGAATTGTAAAACACAAATTATAAACATCATAAAGCTAGTCACTAGTGAGCACGTGTAACTCCTGGAGTTCTAGTGAGAAGTCATAATCAGTGGAAACTAATCTGTTTCAAATGTGAGATAGTTATTCATCTCACAAAATAGGTAAAGGGTTGTGAAAGATCATGGATCGATTGAAGTTAGACATGAGCATCGTTGAATAACAGTTCAGTTATCTGGAAGTTGAATGTTCGCGCGAGAGACTGAAGTGTGTAAGTTTGATTCGTGCGTGCAGATTTGTGGATTTGTGCAACTGAGGAGCTGGATACTAGGACGAAATGACTGTTGATTGCTTGAAGGTTTTCAATGGTGGTTTAGCTTAGATCGACTTGTGAATTCATCCGTTAAAATACGACAACCTCCATAAATTCCCATAATGATATTTATTTATGTTCGTATTAGAGAGCTGTGATGATTATGAATAATAAATGTTATTAATTTTTACAGCATTAATATATCAAATCATATAAACTAAGCTAAATGCCTCATTTTAAAAACATTTGAAGCAAAGAACACTATTATGACCTCAATTTTTATTCTGATTTAATGCGTTATTCATAGTGCCTAGCTTTTTATCATCTCTTTATATCTACGAAATTTAATTTTCATCTACATATTTCTTTGTACGTTAAGTGGAGTATAAGGTATAATGTTTGTTATTACAAAAGGTCTTCTTTTTTGATTCACAGCTAACAGTGTAAATCTTAAATAAGTGAGTGAACAAGGTTAGTAAATAGTTTTACGTAACCATGGTGTTTCGAACGCATACTCTTATCCAGCGAATGTAACATTATACTTGGAATCATTAATTTGTGATATTTATTCGCCGGTTAGTATAACCAATCTCGCTTTCGACAAAGACACTTATCTGGAAAAGTACGGATTGATAATTGTTAATATGAATACCCATTTTTAGAAATCCATTAGCCATATATTCTCATATCATGTTTTGCTTTATTGAACATTGTCTGAATTGTTAATGACAAATAATTTACATTTTCTTTTGATAACCAAATTTTATGAATTAATAACTACATGCCCATACTGAGTCACGTATAATGAATCATCTTCAGAGTCAGTCGTAGTTAAAATGTATTCACACCAATAATTATCTGAAACACTTTTAGTACACTGGAGGAAATTAATAGCTTCGTTGAGCTCTCTGAGCTGAATGGTTTGATCGCTAACCTTTCTTTTCCTTTATCGACAATATTTACAGTGATTACTTCAATCAGCATTGATACGGATAAGTAGAATAAGTAAGCCCTGACGGCGTTAAATGACAACAATAAAAGTGCTTAAATTAAACAATGGAGCAGATGACATAGTCCTGTTTGGTGAAGACGCTGACAAAATGCAGAGTCTTCTGGTAGCACTGAGCAACAATGCCAGAATGTTTGGAATGCGCTTCTCTCCCTCTAAATGCAAGTTGTTGCTTCAGGACTGGTCTGCGTTAACACCTGAACTAAGGATAGGGAGTGAAGTAGTCGAACGTGTTGACAACTTCACTTATCTTGGAAGTCTGATCAACCCTAATGGGTTGGTGTCTGATAAAATCTCAGCACGGATTCGAAAAGCTCTTTTGGCTTTTGCAGACTTACGTCACTTATTCTGAAGGCGAGATATCCGTATATCAATAAAAGGACGAGTATACTGCGCGGCAGTCCGTTCTGTTTTAATTTACGGCAGCGAAACATGGCCATTAAGAGTAGAAGACACTCGTAAGCTATTAGTATTTGACCACAGATGCCTTAGAAATATTGCTGGCGTCTGCTGGGATCACCGGGTAAGTAATAGTGAGGTTAGACGCAGGGTATTAGGGAATGATGGTAAATCAGTTGATGAGGTTATGAATCTTCATCGACTGAGATGGTTGGGCCACGTGTTACGTATGCCTGAATACCGATTACCACGACGTGCAATGCTATCCGGTATTGGAGATGGTTGGAAGAAAGTTAGGGGCGCCCAAACCAAAACGTGGCATCAGTGCTTGAAGTCACTAACTTCTTGTCTGAGCCATGTTGGTAGATGCAGACTACTTGGTTGGGGTCCGCGTGAATTTCGTAACCAATGGTTGGAGACTCTTGGTGACATGGCTCAGAATCGATCACAATGGCGTAGGTGTATACACTCCCTGTCTTCCCTTGAACTAAGAGATTAAAATCGCTTCATATCTTTCTTTCTACGAACCAATTCTTTCTTCTTGTACTATATCTCTATATGCAATCTTTCTCTTACATATTACTACCTTTGACCTAACCACTGCTATGAATCCGGTGTTCATCTTGTTGTGCTGATGCGGTATGGCAACCTGGACCGATGCACATATGTGCCTGGTCCTACGTTGTAGCTGACTGACTGACTGAGTAAACTCAGCTTGGTCATAAATAGATGTATACTGGACAGTATTTTCAGATATAAGTCAACAATAAATTCCTAGTAAAAGTTACACTTATGATGAGATTATAGAGAGTATGAAAGAGTAAACGGAGTTTATGTATGAAAACATGCTTAACTTCAAAAAATAACGACTGATATTTGAACCATAATAAGTTGCATTATTTAATTTATATCTTTGCACAACTAGCATAGTTTCGAGTGATCATGTAAAGAAGTTGGGGAACAAATACCAATTAATCATAAACTTAACCTGAAAAGTTCAAATTAGGTTGAACAATATTTCATGCCGCTTTTGTGCATAATTAAATTAAAGAAAGTGCTTAACAGCTGATTGGTACATTTAGTCTGACCTTTTGAAATTTATCGAGAAAGGTACTTTTCTTAATATCTTTTTCAAGACAGCAATATATCCGACTTTTTCTTTTACTTTTTTAGGAGAAATAAGAATCGGAACTGAAATTTGTCTTGTTATTTGGCTAAACAACTATGTCCTTAGTGTTTTTCAACTTTTGATTGTCACTGATAATTAATTATTGAAATAGCGGATAAATGTCAAAAGCTAGACAACATTGGAGTCGTCGCGCTAACCCGTCATTCTATATGATTACAAATGAAGAAGTTGGCGATAACCACAGAGATTCATCAAAAATAGAACATGACAGAAGTCTTGGGGATTTAATAAATTTATCTGAGCAAATTGACAATGGTGGGAACAAAAATATTTGCGAACAAAGTAAGTAATTTGATAGTCAGCAGATTTTTATGTGGAAAACTTAGGTCCATCTAGTTAAAATTTTTATTTATTTTAACTAGTGTATAATGTTTTCTAGTGGTTGCAATACTCCAAAACAAAGTGCTGTAGTGGACGCTACTTACTGAATCGTTTGTAAGTAGTATGGGACGGGACGTGGAGTTGAAGTTGTAAGAATTGCCAAACGGGGTGGAGAATTTTAATGCATCAAAAGCACAGTATTGGTAGAACACTTGGATATCAGACGAGAAAACTGTTCTGGTGGCAGAACACACCAAAAGATGCTAATAGAAAATTGAAAGCTATGTATATGTATTATGTAAATATTTTGTATATTCAACACAACAAATATACTTTCCTCCTGTCTACTCATTGCTTACCATGCTAAGGGATATTGTATCATAGATGTTAAAATTATTCCTTAGTTGTTTCCTAAATGACACTTCAAAATAAATAAAATTTACTTGTTCTTAAGTCAGTCAAATGGCAATTCATCTGAATAATTAACTATTTTCATAATCAGTCAAAGAGTTTACAACATATTGAAAATATTCCAATTGTAAATAAAGATTTGAAAAAAATTATTATAATTCCAGATTTTTCGGAAAAAAAAGATGTTTTTGAGATTTTCAAGAAAGATCTATTTAATCTCGTTAAAATGGAATAAAGTCAACTTGAAATTATTGTTCTATTTTGATTGAATACGATATTCGGCTACACACAATTATCATAGAACAATTGAAATATTATCAAGTCACTTAGAGATATGTAGATAAAAAATATTTATTATTTCAATAGTTGAAATCATGAGTCAATTGAAGCTAGATCACTATGGAAAACCTGAAAGTAATGAACGGCCGTTTCGTCCTATAGTGGGACTCCTCAGCAGTGAATGACCATTCAGTGCTTCCAGGTTTTTCATGGTCGTTTAGCCTCAATTGACGCATGATCTCAACTACTGAAATTATTATAATATGTGCAAAATACTCCTTCTGATATCAAATATCAATTACGTCAGTTCACTTTTGAAATATGTCACTTTCGACAATCTTAAATATAAAAAAGAGATTTGTTTGTTGGATTTATATCTTAATATAATTAATATATAAGATTTATAACTGTCACTGATTATATTCAGTAGATAAGACAATGAAAGAAAAAACCCCAGAAATTCACAATATTATAAAGTCCAAAGAAACGTAGAAAACTAAATAAATTGACAGGATTTACTACATTCAATGTATGTTTTTATCATTTATTGGATACATGTATCGTATCTAAGGAAACATATAAATCAATTTGAATCTACCTATTTATGTGAAGTGATAAACTTTAAGATTAGTATTCTAAATAAAATTATTTTCGATATTCATCTAAAAAGAGATAAACCATGAATACATATATAGTGATATAAGTTGTTACCGTGTTTGGTTGTCAATCAAAGCTACAATGAACAACATAGCATCCAATGTAAACGAATTATAGTTATCAGTATTTACATAGATTTTTTTTCTAGAAAACAAAGTCAACTGGACAATATTTTTTACTTTATTTTTATACTCCCACATATAAAAAGGAATAATAAATTGGAAAGAATTTTAATGGGTAACTTTTGGAGTAAATATTTTGTACTTAAATAGAGTGGTTCGTGAAATCACTCATTACGGGCTCATGGCAAGCAAGGAGATACTCTTTTTTGTCTTAGTTAGCAATCCTCATCACTACAAATGTGTTCGGAACTCCATGGTTTCTGCTTATTCTCAAATTACTATCTTTCCTTGAAGAAGGACATTGGTAATTATTTTATATGTAGCCAGTACTCGGATCCAAAGTTTAATTTTCGTGCTATTCTGGACCTAAAATCTGGATGAAAATGTAACCGGGTTGATTTTACAGTGAAACTTGATTGTTTCCTAGCAAAATATGAAATTAAATTTGTAGCTACGGGAATTATCGAGACATCTGTTTAGAGTGGCATGACTATGAATTCTTCAAATGTATTTAGTAAGGTTGATATATTGAATATTTGGAAATGTAAACATGTCCGAGTAAAAAAAATATATTGTAATCAGAAAATACATTTGGAATACGTCTTATTTAATTATTTAATAGGAACAATTAAAAATAATGAAAGGCCATTGATTATATAAAGGCGTATTATATCTATCTCAACGTAGGAAATCCAAGTTTCTCTAGTAATAGAAATCGCTGTAACTTCATTGTTTTTCCAAACTTAATTTGTTGAATGCTTCATAGAATATTCATTATAATATTGGACATATAAATAGGTCAATCTGAATGTGAATTTGCTTGTAACTTTTTCATCAACAAAATCTCATATGTAATTTCTCTTAAACCGGTAACAAGAAATATATGGTAATCAAATTATTATATTAATGATTCCATCCAACATTCATTCTAAAATGAGTAACTTTACAACCCTTTCATACTAACTAGGGCGTTTTAAATAAAACAAAAGTCAATAACTAAGACAGAAAACATTTTTAAATGAACCAGAATAACTAGTTCATTGCCATGCCACATGATTTAAGAAGCTGAGAAAAATCAAGTGATATTTAGTTTAAGTACGCAGACAGATATATATTTTACCACTGCACATTTTAACCAAAATAATACACAACCAGAAAGTCACTAATTAACGCAAGTGTTTTTCAATACAATTTATCATTTATCCAATTTCAGCATTGTAATTTTATATGGATACTTGATGTGAAATTCATTATTTCCAATGGTATAAATACTCAACATTACTTGTTAAGTTCACTTCGCTGTTTTCTCCAGATCTTCTGAGTTAAACATTTGAACATAGATCATAGTTGGTGCGTTACGTAACAAGTTAACGTAAATAATGCCCCTTATTAATATTGCTTGTTTACATCACTAGTCACAAAATGTAGTTTAGAGTTTGATCATAAAGAATAAAATGTGGTGTTTATAATGTTTCTATGCGTCATTTCATCTCATCAAGTAATCTGTTTTTATGTTTTTATGCCACATTGTTAAAATGAACATATTACCCCTACATTATCAATTATAGTTCATTTCACCCTATATTGCTAATAAAATAAGTATTTATTAGAATTTCAAAGACAAACTACTTAACATACTAAAGTAGCCTGAGTCAAGCAAAAAAAAAATCGCGCAACTATTGACATCTATATCTATGCAACGGGAAGGTGAAAAAATTAAATTGTTACGCAATAAATTTAAATTGTTCATTTTCAAACGACAGATTCGGCATCCAATCACTGTGAGTTACAAAATATGTTAACTGAATGGATGTGCTTTCAAGAATAATGAGTAGATGTATTGAGATAAGTAACGTATTTACGAAATAGCCTCTATCGTAAACTCTTTATGAGTGTTGTTCAACTTCTGTTTAACCCAACTGATGTATGTTTCATTGGATCTATCCCACCATTTTCCATTCCACTAAAACGAAGGATAATCTTGAGGTTCTGATTGTATCTGTCATTTATATTTACAAATTCATATTTGTTGAAGAGAACGTTCATTTTAAATAATTTTTGACATAAGCTCAAAACATTATTTGTGCAGATCAGCATCTAATTCATTCGTCATTCACTTACTAATTCGTACAAATAAGTTGTGTGTCTCATAATGCCATTCTTACTTGAAGCATGTAAGAATCTCACTTAGTCTACAAAAGAAAAGAGATAATTATAATTACTTCCCATAATCATAAGTGTTCAATTTATAAGGGAAGAGATAAAATAAGATAAAGACCATGACGCAATCAACTATAATAAACATTTCTAAGCTTTTATGATTACGGTGGTTAAAATGATAAAAATGATAAACAACAAAAATTAATGAGGTAATTATAATCTGATTATAATACTACTAAGAAAATGGAAGTAGTTAGAAGTTTAAATTGACAACGGGTCAAATATTTTATTAAAATGACAAGACTGGACATCGTAATCATAAATTAGAAATACAATGAAAACTGCGCAAAAATGATCAATGAAAATGTCGTGATAAAATAAAGATGGAGTTAACCAAAAGAAGCCAAGAAATTAAAGGAAGGGAAGCTGAACAAGTTATTAGTTATCATCCTTTCATAAAGTAAGAAACAAGTTCTTCTGTATACATTAGTCTTGTTCAAGGTAACGAATTGCAGCTGCTTCTTCGTATCTTGAGTTTTTACCGTTGTTCTGTTGATTTATTATTTAAAAGTTAGGACCAGTATATTTTAAATGACTTATGTTCAGTCAGTTCTTTCTTGCGACGTGGTTTGTATTCATTTAGCTTTGAAAAGATGAATTAGAAATTCATTCATTTGTAATTTCCCATTCACTTGAAATTATTCACTGATCTACTTATCAGCAATTAAATCAAATTTCCTTCTTTTCGTATTTAATCGTGTTTGACTACTGTCAGTTTTAAAAATAGATTTGCAGCAAAACTATCAAAAGTTGTAGAAAATGTTATTGCTTTTTTTCACAAATAGTTGAAATATATTATAAATGTTTGGAATGATATCATGAAAGGATCAATCTTAAACCACCATCGAACACCTGTAAGACCAGGATGGCCGTTTCGTCTGCGTATCGGACTCCTTAGCAGTGCTCATCTACGATTACGCTCGCAAAACTCAAACTCAGAGCCTTCGAACGCGCGCGAACGCTTAACCAGGAAATCTATTTCCTGGAATTCTATTGAGAAGCAGTGAATAGTAGAGTTTAATCGTATCTGTTGTGAGGTGGTTACTTACTAAAGGCAATGGTAGACGGCCACCTAATATTGTGGATTGGTTGGAGTTAGATATCAATACTCTTGTGTACCGGCTCAGTGTGTTAAATGGTGGGAGTTCGCATGAGAGATCGAACTACCCGATCCGAATCCCTCATGCGAGATCGCGAGTGCACGCTGCTGAGGAGTACCATACAAGGATGAAATGGCCGTCCAGTGCTTTTAGGTTTTCACTGGTGTCCTAACATTGGTACATTCGTGAAATCAAATTAAACTCACTAGTCTGCATAACTCTTTATTGATAGATTTTTCTTACCTAAATCGTTTAATCGACAACAAGTAATCGTGAATGTAGCAATTTTTAAATATGTCTTTGTCAAAAAATTGTTTAAACGTATTTAGTTTTATCAAGCTGATGTTTGCTGATTATTAAATTCGGAAACAGAATTGCTTTTTTATCTTTTAGTCGATAATTATTATTTTGTTCAACCTACGTATAACTCTATATTTGAAACAGAACACACTAAATGCTATCTGTTTTAAGGTAGTCCATATCATAGTACCCTATGATAAAATCTATCTGAAATCCATATAAAATTAAATTATGCACTACTGATGATCGAAAAATTTTATTCTCATTATCAGTCTTCTCACGAGTTATTATTAGGATATGGTACGATGAGACCATAATCAATTAGGCTTAATTAAATCATTGAGATATCAGGCCATGTTAACCTAAAAAATATACACCATGAAATCTAACAAAATAATCCTATTCAGTGTTAATTTTACTCATTGTTATGAGGTTTCATAATTTGAAAATTACTTTACAAAATTTCGGATTTATCAAACTTTTTATTATCCCTTTGTGACTCGAACAACAGAAATACAAATATTCCTGATGTTTTTAAGTAATAGGTAATCAAATTTTTTCTCAACGAATATATATGTATGTATATAAATGAATTTTGTTTTTTTTGTTTTTTTGCTTTATTTGCTTATAATAACCTAGGTTCTGAACCTCATTTATCAAAATCCGATGAATTAATCAAATCTGAATCAAGAAGTAGTATTGACCAATCAAAACCATCCAAATATATCCCACATTCCCACACGACTACAACAATAGCCAATCAAAATGAAGGAATGGAATCTGAACAATTAACTTATCCAAAACATTCACTATCATCTAATCAAATAAACTATAGTAGTAATAAGCATAAAAATGATGATGATATTAACAACAATAATACTCCTACTAATTCTCCCTTAATTAATACTTCACAGGAATTATTCACTTATGTTAGTAATAATGAACATTGCAATGTAAATAAATCAGATCAGGATAATAGTGGCTGTATAAACTGTGATAGTAATCAGGAAATTCAGCCGCCACAAACAAGGTGGAATAATTCACGTAATTTTCTTACACATACACCTAACAGAGTCCATTTCACCTTTTCAAAAAGTATTGATGTTGATGATGATAATCATATATCGTTACGGGGATTATTTAATAAAACATTTCGTCCAAATTTACGACGAGCAATATCCGAGGTAAAAGATGTATATAACCCAGACAATACAGAAGGTTCACTAACTGAAAAGCATTTACAACAGCAACAACAAAATCATTCACATCGGATTCAAAATAAATTACATCGTCATCTTCAACAGCAGTTTCAGCATAAAAAATTAATATCCCATCCGGCATCACGCAGTCACCAGCATTCTGCTCAACCCTTAAATTATCGTACTGCTACCAGCCAACCATATCTACAACCTTACAGAATAAATGAATTCACAAATACATTTGAACAAGTGTACAATACTCCACAACAATTTGATAGTAGTATATTAGAGATTCCGGTAGATATATATGGTGAAAGTATGTCAGATGATGCATTTTCAAGAAAAAATTGGCCTTCTTGTGATTTTAGTCAAATAGATTCTGAACATTCAATACATTCAAGCAGATTACATGAAATGACGTCTAGTGACACTTTTAAAGAAAGAGACTTACTTTTGAATAAAAATATAACAAATAATAATGAAACAAATATTGTAGTACAATCTTTGCCTAAAAGATCTAATCGTTTGAATGCAGTTAGACGAATGAACACAACTGCAGTGGAACAGCATCACCCGTTCAGTAATAATGAACGATTTAATTTTAGAAAGCAGACTAAACAACAACCGAGTGGCTCAAAAAATGAAAACTATCCATGTATTAATAAAAAATATACACATGGAACATTAAGTCAGGATAATATCAATTCGTCTGCACATAAACTTTTAGATTCTTCTTCTATAGAATTGGGATCGGATTCTATGCAATCACGTCCGGTGCCAGCAACGACTCTTTATCGTTCTTCTTCAAGTGGCACACGTAATCCTGAATGCATAAATGATATTGGCGTTGAACAAACGCTTATTAATACAGGAGTAGGTGCTTCTAACTCTCTTATAACATTAGCTGATAAGAGTACTTTTACATCGAGTATTAATACTTCTACAATGATAATTCTACAAAACAATACAACATCCACAACACCGACAACAACAGTTATTACCGCTTTAGCTAATGGCAATGTAAATGAGTCAACTGTAGATCCATTAAAACAAAGTACATCAAGTTATTTAAAAGAACAATTTCAAGCTTTTTTTCAACCATCCGATAATAAATTAGCTATGAAATTATTTGGAAGTAAAAATGCACTACTTAAAGAGAAACGACGTCAAGTACAACAGGGAAAATGGGTAATACATCCTTGTAGTAATTTCAGGCAAGTATAAATTTAACATAATAAAGTGAAAAGATCATGTACTAGGATAGATTTTTATTTGCTAATCATTTTTTTTCAAAAACGTTCATGATGACAGTATTTAATTCATTAGAACGTTAATGCCAAAAATGATTGAGTTTTATGATTGTGTCTTACTTGCAATCAAGTACTACAACGCAATAGTGGGTTTACCACACATGTTTTGTTATTTTTTTATTAAACTAAATGGTTATATTGTAGTGAACGAGAACACTAGTTGGGGGTAACAATGTATTTAATACAAAATTACGGAAGCTCTTAGTAATATCTGAGAACTACATAGTAAACATTTCATTTTCAAAATATCCATCGTATGTCTCAGACTTTGTTATCCCCTCGTTTCCATAATGATCACTCTCGTTCTCATCTCTTCGAATTTCTCAACCATCTGCCACCAGGTATTCCACATTCGATTGGTGATACATACTACTTATATCTTTCAACATCAGTAGTACACACAACAATACTACTACATTGAGGTAATATTACTAGAAAAACAATTACTGTTTATCATATTTATTCGACTACTAGCTAGTTATCACTGACAACATACAAAATAATATTTCACAAACAATCAACAAGTTTTATTGATTATAGAAGATTATTCAATTCAATTATTCAATTGAATAAAAAATATGATATAACCTAACAAACTCTTCAAAAGCCAAAAAAACTTTTTCTTCTTCATTACTATTCTTCAAGTTATTGAATCAATTTGTTTTTCGCATTTTAATAAGTTAAATTTTCTCCTTCACTTAATCCAATTAATCAAAACTATTTATTCACAAATAATCCAAGGATATATCTATTGCATCTTGGATGAATAAAATAATCAAAAAAAGGCCATTAGTAACCAGTGATTCGTACTTTATCAAAAGATTTTTTAAAAAATTTCATTGATAGTTAGTATCTACCGTGAATGTTAAGTATTTTATTGTTAATTGAAGTAAGTTAATTTTGAGCTAATAGGAATCAACTATACAGGAGAACAATATGTATAGGATAATTTAAAGATGCTAAAATGAACTGAAATATATCAGAGTTATATGAAGTGTTTTGTTGTTGATTGAATATCAAATTTTGATGTTAATATTAGTTTATGCAAAGATAATCAAGTAGATTGGGTATGAAACTAAAGATGACCTAATGATAAAGTGATTAAAACTAAACGTGAGGTAATAATCGGAATTCTTGCGAGAAGCTGTGATTAGTGAAGTCCAATCCATGTGGAGTGTGAGATAGTTATCCACCTCAGACAATGGATGAAAGGTTAAGCAAGATCATGAATCGATTAAAGTTAGACGTTAGCACTGTTGGATGTCAGCTTAGTGGTCTAAATAATAAGGGATCGTGGATGTGCACTGCTGTAGAGTTACGCACTGGAAAGAGACGTTTTAAAAAAGATGTTTTTTTCCTAGACAAATTTGTAAAGATAATGTTTATTGTATTTAGAAAGTTCTTGATTGAACGGATTAATATATAAAACTGAAAAAATCACAAAACAAAATCTTTTCGAAATACGTCTTTGGTTGAAGTTAGATATTATCACCGTTTGGAACCGGCTCAGTTGTACAGTGGTTAAGCTTTCATTGGCGAGACCGGTAGATCCGGGGTCCGATTCTCTCGGGGCAGGATCGTGGATGCGCACTGGTGAGGCGTTTCATACTAGGACGAAACGGCCGTCTAATGCTTTCAGGTTTTCCATGCTGGTCTAGCTTCAATTAACTCATGAATTCAACTATGAAATATTTCAAATATTTTAAACCTTATAAGAAGTTGGCAAAAATAAGTAAAATTTAAGCCAATTAATTTGTATTATTTTCAACTGTTTGGAAGTTAAACTAGTGATTTAAACAAATTGATCGGTCCATAGACATTTACATTATTTTTAAATACAGAAGATCAATTAAGGATTATGGATACAATAGCCTGTTCGAGTTTATAAATATTTAAGTGACTTAACTGTAGTGTATACTTTAACAAATGAACAAAATATAAGAAATTGTAACTTACTGACTAAAAGGGTGTAAGTTTAGCGTAAAATGGTTCAGTTATGGTGGATTTGTTTACTGATTAAGCAAGTCTAGAATGAATTCATAGTAATAACAAATGAGAAACCTTAATTACAAATAATATTTTTCCACATGATCATAACGTTAACCATCAATTGTAAATCACAATTTCAATTCATAACACCGGTTGATAACCTTCGTTTTGTCCTGGTTATTAGGTGGACACTCTCAAAGTCAGTCTAGCCCCGCTTAAAGGTCGTCCATACATTATAGTCTCACCTCAATATCTATTACTCTTGAATAATATTATTCACTATGTGTTTAAGTGAATATTTTCTAATTTAAAGGCTATTTTGAAACTTACTACGTTAAACTTTTTAATCAGTTAAGATTATTTTAATAGTTGACATCATGAGACAACTGAGTCTAGACCACCATGGACAACCAGGAAACAATGGACAGCCATTTCGTCCCATTATAAGACTACTCAGTAGTGCACATCCACGATCCCGTCTCGCGAGATTTCAACCCAGTACCTATCAGTCTCTCGTGCCAGCGCTCAACTATTAAACCACTGAGTAGGCCGGCATCCAGTAGTGTCAATGTTTAATTCCAACTAATCCACGAAATTGAGCAACATATTCACCATTGTCATCATTGAGTTATCATCTCACAACAGACTCGTTTGAAGTCCACTGGTCACTGCTTCTCACTAGAACTCTAAGAAGTATCTCTTGAAGGTAAAATTATTTGTTCATTTCAAGTACACACTATTTTTATTATCAAATAAAACATTAAAGGATTTTATTTTTCACTGTCCATCTATTTATCTATAAGAATGAGTTCAACAAATATTTTGAACAAAATGAATGTATTGATCAACCATAAAATATCAATTAAATAGTTTTAAATATAAGTATATAATCAATATTCAATAATTCAGTTTTAATTAAATCGATTTATTATGTATGGTGTTTTAATTCATATTTGTTATGTTTATTTTTGATATGATAGAAAGAAAAGTCAATTCATGATTGATTTACTCATTATGAGTTTTGTTCAAAATTACTACCATTTTGATTTAGTGTAGTGATTACTCAATGTAGTATTTGTTTCCTTATCTCGTATGATATTTTGTACTGTATAATATACGATATTCTTGTATTCCATTGACATGCACTATGCTCAGTATGTGATTTGTTATAACTCTAAGTATGTTTCATATATGTGATTTCATCCTAATTATTAATCAAAATGGGTGTACAATCAATATATAAATGAGTGTATTTTTGCCTAGAGTTGTCATCTTCGTCGTGTTTTGGGGTTAACAGATCATCATTTATACCAGTCTTTGTGTTCTTACCTGCGTGTCGTGAGAATTGCAGAGGTCCCTCGTTCAGAGTATAAGTGATAAGCGTTTCCGACATAACAGTCAGCGACGACCAGATACAAAAGGTAGCATTAAAAGAGAAAAGACAATAAGCATTCAAACGACAAATTATAACAATTTTCGGACAATATAAAAATTTAAATGGTCCAATAAACTGAGATGTTATTTATCTTCATATTTCTTTTTTAACTCTTGGGGGCACCCTCAAATTTAAGTTTCTAAGACTTATGTTTGAAAATAAAATATTGTTATGATACAATTCAAATATTGGTGGTAGTAGTAGTAGTATTAGCTTTTTTGTTGTGACATAATGTATGGACGATCTTTGAGCGGCCCTAAAGTGACTCTGAGAATGTCCACCTATTAACTAAAACCAAATGACAGTTATAAAGCAATGTGAGGAATTAGAATTATGATTTACAGTTGATGGTTAATGTTCGGAACTAGATTTAGATTTTTTTATAACGAACTAAAATGTCAAGACGCTATTTAGCCAGGTGGATGAATGAATTTCGCGCTAAAATCCTAGACCTGATATCTTATACCTGATTGGTTCGTCCATAAATAATAGACTCGCTAATTTTTTTATGTACTTAAATGAGATTGAGGATTATTTTATAAGATATTTCAGCATTTTCAAATAATTTACATCCAAGTGTATGATATATGCAAAACATATTGATGAAGACAATGTTAATTAACTTATTCTTTACCATGTTTTTCTTTGTATTGAACTACTTACGACGAAACGTCGTTTAAGAAATATATACAAACCGATTTCCCTTTTGGTAGTATTCTTAATTTGCTTAGTAATTTCTGCAACTCACAACATAATAGAACACAAGGACCTATGTAATTTGTGAAAAAGATTTGTAGCATTATATGTTTTACATGGATTCCTGAAATTCACTGTGTTATTTAGAGTAAACGTTTTGATAAACGTTTACTTTCTTAATCTAGGTTGTCCTTTAAATAGCCTGTGAATGTTCACAACATACGAACAGTCAATATCTACTTTCTAGTTAGGTAACACTTTCAAGGCTGAATCTAATCGTAAAAGTAACATCGTATTAAATGGCGAATTGTTCAAACTTTTCTCATAAAATAACTGAATATTTTCGAATTTAAAAACTTAAATTCATCAATCTTTGTTTATTTGAAGCGAATATGTCATAAACTATACAAATAACATAATTGAACAAAACTATTCAAAGAAATACATACTTTCTCAAAACAACCTACTTGTTTAAGGACATTTTCAAGTTGTTAGTTTTATTGAATTTTACTGAAAATATAGTCTATAATCACTGACCAATATTTGTCCTTTAACTAATCAACAAATAATGAAATAATATGCGTTGAAAACTTTTAAAACTATCGAAATCCATACAAATGTATTCTAGATCCTATAATAGAAAATTGTGACAAATTACTGAACACACTAAACAAAACATTTATCTTTTGTCATGAAACCATTTTTCCAATCTATTCTTAAGGGAATCAATTTTTAAATTACTGATGAATATATGCTGTTTGATTTTTCAATTCTATATTGTACT